AAAAAAAAAAAGCCTGCTCCAGCCTTCATTTGTGCTAAGGGACACACTTCTCTCTTGTGGTGAAACACCCTAGCTCCATAAGAAAGACTGATTTCCCACCACAGGAACCAAAGACCTAAAAAAAAATCTTTGCACTGAAGGTACCAGAAGTTTTCCTTCAGAGTCCGGGGTTGAACAAGAAGAAGCCAGACGAATGCCATGGGTCCCTAAGTCTCCTTCATGCTGCTGAACATCTGTCACTCTGCCAGAATTTTCTTTGCCAGCTTGGGAGGTCGCTGATCTTGAATGTCTGACCCAGCTCTAGAGTCTCCCTTCTGAATATGTCAGCAACCTCTCAAGATGTTGTCTTGATCTTCCCGCACAATGCCCTGTGACATGTCCCATAAAAAAAAGAGGGAAGGCATATGGCAGTGGGATGAGATGTGGAGATCACGGAGTCAAATGAGACTTGGCTTAAATCCCTTATTCCACCATTTATTCTCTTTCTTACTTCAGTCAAGTTAAAACCTAGATTTTCTCGTCTATAAAATGAGGAGAGTAATAAAATATACTGGATGTAGAGTCTACCGGTTGGATACAATATACATTCACGAACCCCCCCCCAGTTGCAGCTGGAAACTTGACTCCCAGGTAACAACATTTTCCGGTCTCTGTGACTAGACTTGTCAGGTGACCAGTTTCCAGCCAGAGGGTTATAAACAGAAACAATACATGTAATTCTGGGTCTGTGACCTTCAGCTTCCTTCCCAGAGCTTGGAACATGGAGCTGATATCAAGTCATGTTGGATCATGCAGATGGGAACGAGCTTAAGGAATCCAAAGGAACGAAACAGAAGGTACTAGAGCAAGCCTAAGCCTCTGTTATTGAGGCTTCTATTGCATTAGCTGATATGTATCCTAATATGCCCAAGGAAGTACAAAATGAGAGAAGAGAGTGCACATAAAACGCTTAGCATAGCGACTAACTGATACTAAGCACTTGCAAACGGAGGCTTTTATTTTCATAAGCGATAGCCCTACGTCTAGCCACTTTTCACAGACTTCCAGAAAAATACACACAGACACATGCAAGGAGAATAAGCCAAGCCAAATTCACTGATTAGAACACGCATGATACGACGTAGAATGCAGAAATCTAGAGGCTGGTAGAATTTCCCCCGAGCCTTAGGAATCAAAATTGGTACAATAAATGCTCTGTACACCATGCTAACCCATGGGGATCTGGATTGCCTGCTCTGTACAGGTGGAAATCACGATGAGGCTGCTAAGTGGGACCAGCAGAGAAACACATCTGTGCCAGCTCATGCTTCATTACTTCAGACGGCTCCCTTTCAAAAAGCTATCTGGTCATTCAATTCTGATGTCTTTTGTCCTGTTCGATGGATGAAGACGAGAGCAAAGACAGCAAGTTTTAATGACTTCCTTCTCGATAGGTACAGAATAAACAATCTTTCCCTCTTGGCAGCAAAGAGGCCCAAGCTTAGAAGAAGAGCTGTCTCTCTCCCTCTCTCTAGGAGTCCGCCATCTTGTATCAGCCCGATGCTAAGTATGTACGCATTCCCCTTGCTTGGGTAGAATCTTTTAAATAGTTAACTATTGGAAATAGCCCTATGCCAGAAAACGGAGGAAACTGTGGGTGAATGTGGATTCCTGCATATAAATCCTAACTACTAAGGCATGCTTTCTGCATTTAGCAGATGTTAAGTGAAGCTCCTAGCACAGATGTCCCAACCTATAGAGAAACTGTCCTTTTCCAAAGGAAGGGGCCATTGAGGTCTTAAGGCCCCAGAGTGAGAGGCCCGCATCGTTTACGAACATACTGGCACAATGGCATCCTATAAATGGGAGTGTCAGCATTTCATCCCCTATCTGCCCCAGAGTGTGATGTCCTGAGATTGAACCCGTTCCATCTCAGCACCCCGAGACAAGACTGGATTCACTGCTCAGCAACCTTCACATATGAGATTATGGCCTGCATACCAATGGCAAAACAGATCCTACGTGTGCCCTCCGCGTGGCATCCAGAGCCTCTCAGGAAGCCTGTGCAGACACGCTGGGATGGAATGCCTGATGCCGGCTCCAGGATGCCCAGGTTAGATCAGAAGCACGGCAACTGTCAGCGAGTATGAAGATAATCAGGACTGAAGTCACACCTTTTGGTTCAGCAGAGGCCAGCAGCCTGAATTTTTGTTGGTGAGCTGCAAGGGTAGGATCCAGCGTGTCACGTCTAATAACTTTCCTGTCTGAAGTCTGATGTGCTAAGAGATCCGGGCTGCTCACGTTAAAAGCTGGGTTCCCAATGCCTTCCGTAGCCTCTCTATCTTCTTTAACTAGAGCAAAACAAGGAGGTCAGAAGATCATTCTAAAGCAAAATGTATTCCAATGACAAGCAGAAAATTCCTCCCAGTAATTCTTGTGCGGAAAGACTCAAGTGTATCATCCTCAAATGTCACCAAAACAGAATTAGGTTAAAATTAACTCTTAAAAAAAAAAAGAATAAATGATTAAAATAATTACAAATTGCACCCTGACAAGCAAGAGCAAAATTTCGCCCACAGCCATTTGTCTGTAATTAGTTAATTAATCCTTACACAAATTATGAGCAATAACTCATCAAGCAAGGCTCACCCATCAGAAATTCAGCCGACTTGGATTTCTTCTGCTTAGTTTGCTTCAGAGCCTTCTGCCGAAACTTCTGGAGGGAAATTGTTAAATGAATAAATTAGCTAAAGAATGAAGATCATCATTTATGATCCACAACTAACACAGGATTTTAAATATGGGATGGCATTGAAATGTCATTTAATTTACATCTCTCCTAAAGGGGTCAAACACTAATTGAACAACAGAAGTGGAAGAATTAAATAAAAGAGGATAAGAAAAGTTAATACAAATGCCAAATGAAGGTCACGTTCAAATACTTTGTTTTTATCATTTTTAATTAATGCAAAGGGCCCTCAACAAATTAAGGACACTAGCCAATTTGCACAGAGAAGCTTGCACTGCAGGATTGACAGGAATTCGGACAGTGCTATGATGCCATTTCATTTCGGCGAGATAGAATGATCTTGTAGAAAACGTGCTCAGCGTTGGTGCTTGCTTGTGTCCATATTTGTTTTAAACCGCTAAATTCCAGCGTGTGAATTAATTCCTTCTTGAAATCTAACCAGGGATAAACATGATCCAAAATTTCAGCAAAAGTCAAAATGATGTGAAATGCCAAGAGTTTCATAGTCTCCTGGGACTTACACAAATTTCATAAAATGCCACCTCACTGAAAACCAGAATTCATTACATGACTGGGAAAGCCATTAATATGAGAATGCATAATAAATGTTCAAAAATGAAAATGAATAGCCAGAAATATTATTAGAGTCCTCAGACTCCTACAAGTTCCAAATGAATCCTTGATAACTGTCAGACTAAATTTTAAAAATATCCGTGGTGGAAATGCTCAAGTTTCAGATTAAATTATAAAATTTAGGTTAGCCATAAGCCAAAGAGCCAGAAAGATAAAGCATGTAGAAATGAGCAAGCCACGGTTACATGTAAAGATGGCGTATCAGACAACGCATCAAATCAAGTTTCTGACGACTGGATTCAGAATAACAAAATGTCGTGTCCATTTTACAACCCTGTGTCATTGCTTTTACTAGATCTCCTGGAGCTTCTAACATTGCCATTTTGCGTTACAGTGTTTGGAAAAAACCCGACTTCTTTTTAAAAACCTCTTTCCTTATTCTTATAAATATCACAAAGCAATTAAATCATAATACAACAGGTTGCATAAATAGCCTGGTATCGTAAAAGCATGTTAAAGATTTAGGAGCAAATAGTCCACGTAGCCAACCCAAATGCAGGACCTGTTTTTCTGAGAATCTCCTCTTTGAAACATAAGGCAAATAGTGTGCAATAGGTTTAAAACAAAATGTATTTAATGTGACTGTAAACGAAATCAAGGAAAAACATGTACTCCAGAGATCTTTTTTCTAAAAAGGTGGTGAAGAGAGCCCCGCAGGGGTAAAAATCACAATCCCGCCCACCAAAAAAAAATTTCTAGTATTTCGAGATTTTCTTTTAAAGGAAATGCATAATGACTCTTATTTAGACAAAAGTCCAATAATTGTAAAGACTTTTTTCTTGCTTTCAGGAATTCTGATATTTCTTTTTAACATCCACTGTCAAAGTAGCGTGATGTATTCTGTGCAATTGCTCTATTTAAAAGATAAAAATAGCATCGCAACCTGATAGAAATCCTAAGATGTGTAGTATTAGGGTCATGTATGAAAATGTACGCTGAAATCACAAGAGAGAATACATTTCACTAATTTACATCCCTTCTCAACTTTTAAATTAAACGCAGAAGATGACAGGCACTAAAAACTCGGTAAACTTTTACAAACAGTAGTTCAGAACTGCAAGAATGTTCCCACATTTAGGAAGACAGGGGGTGAAGTATGATTTTTTTTTTCACAGCCTCCATCTAAAGTGGCAGCAGATAGGAGGCTTCTTGACGTGGTTCAGTAATCCTGCGACTTCAACTCCTTTCAGATCCAGTTAAACACGCTTTTAAGTAGATGGATGTGGCCTATTAATAGACCTCATTTCCTTACTAAGGGCTTCAAATGAAATTATGTGCTTTCTCTCGAATGTTTAAAAAGGTCTCAAAGATATTTTTTTCACGAGTTCACGTATTTAAAAGGAAGGCCAAGTCTGATTGTACACACCAGAGATAAATTCTTGGAGGGGATTAGCAAGTGAGGGATTGTATTTTGTGACCTCTTTACTACTAACACATGTTCGAGAGGAAACGGGCAGTGATTTCCCAGTGCTCTCCTTGGCCAATTCCTTTCTGCTTTCCTCTCTACACATGGGCACCTTTAAAGGGGGTAAATTGCACCTTCAACCACCCCACCTCAATTCAGATGCCCTCCTTCCTGATGAGATTTTCTCTCCCCAGCTTCTGCAAACGAACCTTTGCTTCTATTTCACATTAATGCCTTCATTCTTTGCCACTGGTTAAGTTAGCTTATTTATGGAACTTGTTATTATTCTTAATAAGCTCACATCAACCTATTAAATATGTATATGGCATTTCAAAAATCAAATCGAGAAACAAAATTTGATCATCGGTACCTTCCTGCTTCTCACTGATACCTACTTAGTCCTGAAGAAAAGCAGAATGTTTAGAAATCTTGACCAAACCAACACAGATAGGCCTGATGTCTTTTATTTTTCAGCCCTTTACGTTGCTATTTCATTGCTATAACCTAACTCTACATCAAATCAAAGCAAGCAGTTTCTGGGAACACGTTTGTTTTGCGTGTGTGCTTAAATAGTGCTGAATCCGGTCTTTCAAACATGTTTTGTTAAGGTTATCCCCCTAAATATGGAATACGTACTGTGCAAGAAAGCAAGAAATACTTTGTGATTTGAACAGAGGGGAAAAGAAAAAAAGAAGGAAAAAAAAAAAAAAAAAAAAAAAAAAAAAAAAAAAAAAAAAACCTGCCTGGAATTGGTAAGACCTGACAGTGTTTTGGACAATACACATCCTCTTCGTCCAAAAGAACAACAAATGCCTTTTCATGCAACATGGTCAACTTGAAAAAATAATAATTGTAATAATACCGCGACAGAGTCGAGAACACGAACAACAACAAACTCATTTATAACCAGTGGCGAGCCACACGTAGGAAGTTTTTTAAAAAATGTGATTGTCGTCGGGAGGAATGGGGTATGGGGTCCCCCCCAGCGCAGCGCTCAGCTCGGCTTGCAGTCAAAGCCATGGCCGAGGGGCGCGGCCAGCCTGGTGGGCACAGACCAGCAAGAAAGTGAATACTGCATACTGCACAGATCATCGCTCGGTTCAGGGCAGTCAGATTGCATCTGGGATCAACCGATCGTGCGTGATGAAACCGTCAGCCCTCATTTGTGTCTAGCTGTTTTCCTCTGTCCGGCTGTAAACAAGGCCGGCTGGGGGTTGTCGGCCTCCCCTCGCGTGCGCGGGGAGACCTCACAGTCCGACCTCGCCAGGGGCCTCTGCGCGCACCAAACAGTTCCATCTTCCGGACAGCGGTTCCAGAGCACGACCGGCAAGTCACAATGTGAGGCCACTTAGGAATGACAGAGTCAGGGCCTCCTTTCAGAAACATGCCTTAGATTCCTACACATTCTGGCAGGGCACGTCTCTTCCATGAAATTAATTTAGGTGTTCCTGACATGAACAACTGTGTTTTTTCATTGTTGTTGTTGTGTTGTTTTGTTTTGTTTTGTGTTTTCCAGCAGACTAGCTCAGCAGATTCATCTTGTTGGGGAGGAGGGAGTGGTGGAGATTGTTTTAGTTGTTTCACTGCTGTGGGGCTTTGCTTGGATCAGCCAGAAAACAAAACCAAAAAAAAAAAAAAAAAAAAAAAAAAAAAATAGACATGGATAGAAATACTGTGGATCTGGTCCACCTCCAGGAACCTAATCATGCCTGAATTGCTGGGAGGAGTGTAATGATGGTAAACAGGAACAGGTATGTTGGCTTCTGTTCTCATCCACTAGGGCCACATTGTTGCCTTTACAATAAAGCAAAAGACTGTCTTGAAGGAATGGCATCTCAGTCATAAAAGGCAGGGGCTGTCATTGAAGCCATTTTCCTGGGCAAGTGGCAAAAAGGTAACATTTAGTATTCACTACACTGAGTTCTCCTAGCCAGCTGGTCGGTCCCTGTTAAGACTTTCATTTATGCAGCTTGAGCTGGAACCTTTTTTGTTCTCCCGGTCTATTACTTTGTCTATTTAAGGGATAACAGCCAAAGTGAAACAGCTTGCAATTTGCACCTGTCTGCTCTGAACATTCCATGTTGGATTATATAGAGAGCAAACTCTTCATTGCTAATGAGAACAAGACTGGGTAAGACTGAATGCAGTTTTGTTGGGGGACCTAGAGGATATTTTAGTGGGCTTTCTCCCCTTTTCTAAATAATTTGATAGGGACCACCATATTCTCGTGTTTTAGAATTCCTAGAGTAAAAAAAAAAATGCAACTGAGAAAAAAATGCAGTGAAGTTGTGTATTCTTTAAAGGAAAATTTAAATGCCATGTAACTAAGAATTAAATCAGCATTCAATTGTCGCAGATGAGAGAGAAAAACTTTAAACGCTAGGTTATTTCCAAATTGTTGTAAGCACAAAATACCTAGAGAGACCCTTAATTTATAAAATTGGCCATGAAAAAAAAGTTGATAAAAAAAAATTGGGGGATGTTACAGGAGAAGGACTGGTTTGGGAAATAATATTGAGTGTCTGAAAGTGAACCAACGCTCTCTGCTTGTATTATCTTTGAACTTTTAATTGACTGGATGGAAAATAAAAATTCAAGTGACTGAGTTCCAAATCATACCTAGATAGATGTGTATGTGATATCATCATGCAAATCACAGAGCACATTCTCCACAAATGCAAAAGTGCCAGCCCATGATTCTCTCCAACCTTTTCTGGAAGTCCTCTGCAGCCCCCTTAGCTCTGAGGAGTTATATCAGTGAGCCACCATCTATTTTTAAAGAATGTAAATTAAGTGAAAGAACTTGAAGTAAGGCTTATGACATTTTCCCAAACCTTGTGGATATTTTTTTAAAAAATCATAATAATAATGTTCAGCTAATTTTCCAAAATATCCTTGAAGACTATCCAAAATTTAGTAAAATCTATGTATGTATAAATTAAATATATACATGCACATATATACACATACACAGAATATATACTGAATATATATGAGAACAATGTAATATGCTGAATATATATAAACTATATATATATATCCACACACACACACATATATATATATAGAATATATATTGAAAATATATTGAAACAGAATAACAGGATATATATATATATACACATTATATATATATACATGATATGTATATATATACATATATATATTTGTGTGACATTTGGATTCCAGAAATCCCTCACATTGGCACCTTCTGTTACAGTGCTAACTGCTACGGCGACAAGCTTAATGAAGCCAAGGTGGTCACAAATATTGTCTCACTCGTAACTTCTATAGTTCACTGTGGCTGCTGGCGCACATCTTGCCTGACAGATAACGTCCCAGCTCGTCAGTGATGGACCCTCTCATGCGACTTTAGGAGTTCTGTCAGCCACGGCCGAGTCTGGTCAGGTCAAAGGGTTGAGCCATGTGTAATTCAGAACAGAGGACGTCCCACGGTCTCGCCACAAAAACAATTACACTACTTATTTCGCTCTAGCCCTTGCCCCAAACTCACAAGCCTCACATTTTCAGGGCAGTCAACCTAATTCTGCCCCTGGGCGATAAGCCACATGAAAATATGTGCTGCTGTGTTTATAAATCTAATCAAAAATAGAAACAGTGGACGGGCTCAGTGAGGTCCTATTATGGATCATGGGAATCCCTGGAAATTCTGAAGGCACTTTTGTTTGACTTCCGTAGACTCTCTTTTGCTATTACATTGTCTGCTACACTTCGTTAATCATCCTCTTTACTCGTGAGTGCTACCAAGGAGGCTAAATTTCTGCTCGCTCCTCCTGTACTTTTCAAGTCCATGGATGATACTATGAAAAATAAAGCTTGAAAGGCTGCTTTTAAAGGAAAAAATCAGAAGAGGGAACTACGGTTATAGCCATCTTACCTCTCTATCCATGTTCTCGGCCCCTTGCCCTTGGCGATGCACAGATTTAAATCAAGTCCCCCTAAAAAAGACAAATAATATGTAAAAAGTAGAATAGGGGCGCCTGGGTGGCTCAGTCGGTTGGGTGTCCGACTTCAGCTCAGGTCATGATCTCGTGGTCCATGAGACCGAGCCCCGCGTCGGGCTCTGTGCTGACAGCTCGGAGCCTGGAGCCTGCTTCCGATTCTGTGTCTCCCTCTCTCTGGCCCTCCCCCAGCTCACACTCTGTCTCACTCTCTCTCTCTCAAAAATAAGTAAACATTAAAAAGAAAAAATACTTTTTTTAAGTAAAATAAATTCGTCTGACCAGGAGGGATATGAAGCAATTTGGGGCTGGAGAGCTAGGATGTTACTTAATGGTCCCTTAAACACTCCGTGTCGAGCCAACAGATTTTGATTTGGGGTCCTGTTTTTATTGTTGTTCCAGACTTCTACTAAACTGAAAGTCGGTGAATATTCACAAAACGGTTTACGAAGGTAATGCGTGGGAAAAATTCAGACTTGATTAAGACAGTCCAACCTTCCTGTTGTATGCCAAGAGGTGACTAACTCAGACTGCCCTGAAATTATGCTAAAAATGTGCTGTTGAGGCTTTCGTTAGCTGTACTACATTATCTCTTTATAAAACAGGATCCAGGGTCGCAACTGTCAAAAATAGATAACGTCTGATAAAGTCCATGATAAGTATATGCACTTAAGGACCAAGCAGATTAAATTCTGAGAACTTCATCCACCAAAGATGCGTACACAAATTTTCGTGAAAGGCAGTGTGGGATAAATTATCAGGTTTAATCTGCCAGCGATTACATTTGATATTGTTTCAGTTGAGAAAAATACTGCCCTAGAACACAGTCTGGGACCAGATGATTACAAAAATACGTGGAAATAATAATAAGTGAGAATTTTTTTAACGAGCAATGTAGTCCCAGCATTTATTAGATTATCATAAGCATTCGCCAAAAGAGCCTTTTAAACTTGGAATTTGCCCTTTCAAAATGGTTATCGGTATTTGGCAGTAAAACAAAGTACATCATGTATGAATGATACAGGGGACACATTTTGTTTTTTTTTACTTTGGAGAGCTCTCAATCGTAATTTTAAAAAGTCACTTCACAATGTGCGTATGAGCTCTTCTATGGCTAACAATGTTGAAAAATGAAAGATCTCAGTCCTTCCAGTGTTAATTGTAAAACGTACTCGTTTATGTCTGAGTAACATAAAAGATTCAAAGATTATATTGACTACATCCTAAAATGAGGGAAGTGTGTATAAAAGTTTTTAAAGGAAAAGAGTCCACATCAAAATGAGGAAATTTTAGCCAAATAGCAGAAGTTAGAGTTTGATTTGCTTATTTTTGCCACCACACAGGGACCGAAGTGTATTCAAAAGCACATATTTCCGAGCACTGTTATTCTAAGGGTTAAGATTTGTCTTTAAGATACCTGTGATTTGTAAATTGTCTCATGTTATTGTCATCATAAATGTTATCTTGCAGGCATACAATCCAAACTGTACGAGCCAAAAAAACACAAGGTGCCTCTACTCACGTCAAGTTAGTGCTCAGGAAACTTTCAAGTAAGGCAAACCACTTCTCTCCCTTCACAGCAGGCTGCATTTTAGACATCTTTATGCACAGATACTTAGAATGTGATAGAATACAGTATGAATCAGTAACATCATGAAATGAGGTCAGAATCTTTACATTGTCTCATGTAAAATTATGACGTTAAACCCGGAAAGTGGTTTGATAGGACCAAGTCGTGTGTCATATAAAAAGCAGCTCTCTCTGGAGAAGTAAAACTGTATATTCCCCTGTCTCATGAGAAAAGGGTGTGGCCTGGCATTCCTCTCTGCTTGGGAATCTCTGGGAGCTTAGATCAAGCATGATTTGCAATAAAGAGTCTCAGTCTCTGTGTATCCACGAGCTGGAATGTGGGAGTCAGATCCCTCACAGCTGGGTCAGATCCCTTACAACCTGCAGAATAGAGGCATTGAAGAACAATCGACACCCCCCCCACTCCCCCCCCCCACCCCGCCCCGCACCAGAGACCTATCAGTGAACATGTGACCAGGCTGTAGGACATAACCATGATGTGGGCAAGGTGTCTTTGCTAGTCTAAATACTGACACACAAATGCATATTCCCAGTGCAATTTCTAGGAATTTAACTCGCAGTCCTCCAAGATGGGAAGGAATTGTCCAAAGGTCGGTTCCTAAGTGCTGTGGCAAAGGCGGGGGGGGGGGGGCCGGGGGGGTGCTGGTGAATGGAGAACTAGGCGTGAGGCAAGTTCTAGGGGCCCCAGATGCTGAATCAGTGAGAAAGATGCTCAGGCAGCAATAATGGACTCTGAGGAACAGGCAGGATTAGGAGTTAAATAGAAAGAGAGAGTTGGAAAAACACTATGAGCACAGAATGGTAAACGAAAGTGAGAATAAGTTCGTAGAACAGCGAGTAGAATCTGTCAGCAAATAATCATTTCAACAAGTTAGTAATTCATGAGTCGCCACCACACCCTCTAAAAAATTGATCACTCGTGTAAGTGGCAAAAAATGGAGCCAATCAAAGAACTGATGTATTTGCTGAACTGTCTGTATATCTACATTTTCAGGAACAGCCCAAAACAGCTTCTTTCTTAAGAGGAAAGGAGAATAAATAACAGTTATAAATACTAGGCATTTACCAAAAACCTTGGTTTAGGCCTTTCGGGGGCGTTGGATTTAATGAACTAATGGACGCCATTACAAACTTCTCACTGTGACTACAAATCTGGACCACGGTGTAGCATGTCAGTTGCAACACAAGTGAACGACCGTGGCAATCGATTTAAAAGCCAGTCTCAAACTTGCAAGCAGGTTTATAACTGCACTATCACCTGCTTATAAGGAACCTGTTGGCCACCTTCTGTTGAGCCTAGGTTAATAACCACCTGCTAATTTGTATAGTCACTGGTGTTTTTTTTGTTGTTCGTTTAAGTGCTGATTTTAAAATGGCTTTCCCTGAAATTGTTGACCTTGTATTGCAGATTAAATTCTGGAATTGCCAAATCTCTGACAACTGGTTCATTGCTTCCAGAGAAGGGAATTAACATGGCTACAGCTGTCATTCCATTGCATTTTTCTTCTCAAGCAGACCAGCAAGGGCAAAGATGGTGTTAGACAGAGGTCGCAAGCCAGATTCTGTCTGCAAACGTGTTTTGTTTGACCTTCACAGTGACTTAAAACATATTGAGCCTCTATTTAAAAATAAGAAAACTGCCATAAAAATCTGACTCCTGGCTTCTCTTGGAAAATTAAAAAATTTGGCAAGCGAGGGTCAACGTCCATGGTGAGCTGTGGAAGCATGCTCTCTAGGCAGTGCTCTCCTGGTCTACAGTCCACGTTCTCCCTATTACAACCCACAAACCAACATGTAAGTTCCGTAAGGTCAGAACTTATTTAATTCATTGTTACATCCTCAGAACCTAGAACAGAGCCTGGCAAGTAGTGCGTGCTCAAGAAATATTTAATGTCGGATGAAATGATCTGTGGACACACAGGTAACTTGAATGGGTGGCATTAAAACGATAGGAATGTTCCTACGGGCACCTGGGTGGTTCAGTCAGTTAAGTGTCCTGCTCTTGATTTCGGCTTAGGTCACGATCCCAGGGTCGGGGCAGTGAGTCCTGCATCAGGCTCCTCACTGAGCATGGAACCTGCTTGAGATTCTCTCTCTCTCTCTCTCTCTCTCTCTCTCTCTCTCTCTCCCTGTGTCCCTCTCCCCTGCTCACACTGTCTTTCTAAAAAACAAAAAATAATAATAGTTAATTAATTTTAAAAAAAGACAATGGGCACGTCCAGGAATTGTCACAATGCATGTCTCAGTTAAAAACAAAAATCTGTGGGGGCACCTGGGTGACTCAGTCGGTTAAGCATCTGACTTTGGCTCAGGTCTTGATCTCACAGTTCGTGAGTTCGAGCCCCGCGTCGAGCTCTGTGCTGACAGCTCGGAGTCCGGAGCCTGTTTCGGGTTCCTTGTCTCCCTCTCTCTCTGCCCCTCCCCTGCTCATACTCTGTCTCTCTTTCTCTCTCTCTAACAAATAAACATTAAAAAAATTATCTAAAAAATATATGCAGGTCATTGGGGCGCCTGGGTGGCTCAGTTGGTTGAGCGTCCAACTTCAGCTCAGGTCATGATCTCACAGCTTGTGGGCTCAAGCCCCACATCAGGCTCTGTGCTGATGGCTCAGAGCCCGGAGGCTGCTTCAGATTCTGTGTCTCCCCCTCTCTCTGCCCTTCCCCCACTCATGCTCTGTCTCTCTCTGTCTCAAAAATAAATAAATATTAAAAAGATTTTTTTTTAATCTGTGCAGGTCAAATAAATTCTGCCAGTGCTCGGGCAGAAAGAGACAAACTACCTGCCTATCATTCTGCTCGCCCTGCTGTTTTTCTTATAAAGAAATATTTCTCTGTATCCCTGCTACTATCAAAAAAGTAGGGCCACAAGCATCAGGGCAAATGAGAGTGAACACAGACCCAGCACATTTCACTCATTTATATTTCTTGGTCTGGCGCCTGCAGGCATCTGGATTTGAAACTTCTGGAACAGAGACAGGAGTAGGTCTCCCACCCATGATACCAAGCTGCTTTTACCACATTCTCCCCTCATCCTGCTCAGTAGGTTCTGCACTACAGCCTACATCTACGTTAGAGAATAAATCAAAAGTGGAATACAAAACCTTCCCTGGAAAGTCACGAAACCTAAAACACACTATTGCTTTAAATAGCATAACAGTGTGGCACGAACTTGTGTTTACAGCTCGAAAGGCATTGGTTCAGCTTTCTTGCTCGTGGGGAAGGTGCTTAACCTCGAAAAGTCTCCAATTACTCTGCATAATGGTTGAGAAAATTTAAAAACTATGCATGTCAGACTTCTGGCTGCCACTTAGGGTATAGAAAGCTGGAAAGGTGTTGCTCCCAAACATAAAGCAGGATAT